GTAGCAATGAAAATATGAAGATTATAAATAATAAATTTAACTTCGAATGCCTTAATGAAATAATGAATTGACCTCAACTAGAACTAGATAACAATCTTAATTTAAATTTTTAAAATTTTTTTTATGATCATGAAATTTGTCAATGCTAGTGAAGTCACACATATATATATTTAAAATGAAAATCTCACTACTCATAAAATATAAAAATATTTAACAATGGTGTAGTTTGATAAAAAGCTTTTAGAGAATTCATAGAAACTGAAAATGTTAATAAAAATTTAGGAGGGCTCTATCAGAACGAATATCAAGCGTGGACACACAGTCGACAAGGATAAATAACCCATCAAGCACGACTGAAAGCTGCGTCACAAGTGCGGCAAGAGTCACGAATCAAGCGCATGCATAAAGCTTACGAAAACAAGCGTGAGTACGATACTCACAAATAACTATCCCTCCGTTTCACATGCGTTGGCCTACGCACGAGGCTAGCACCTCCTAGAAGCACCATGCTAGCTAGGTGTACCATGACACGTCAAGGGCTAACGGAACTGCCGTTAGCATCTAGTGTTCTGAATTCAGTCCTCCTCAATAAACTTTAACATGTATGAAGTAAGAGAAAGTTTCAAAATTTTCTTTTCTCTTCTTATTTTTCCACTTTCAAGTACTGATCAATTATTATTATCATTACTTCATCAATACATGTCAACTATCTAAATTACCAATAAAATCAACACCTTCCCTTAATAAAACAATCATTAGGCTAAATGAGAATAATTGTACAATTTATAAGAGATAATGCTAAAATTCTAAATAGGGAGATTTTTGTAAACACTTTCCTAAGAATTTAATTAAAACGCTACCCACTCACCTGAGAGTTTCTATATATTTTTAAAGCTCGTTCTTCCCAACCTCTCACCTTAATTCTAATGATGTCTTTAGATTCCTAGCAAATATATCAAAACCTTAAAATCAATTATTTAGTATTTCCTCATCAAATTAGCAACTTGACCTTAATCCAACCATTTAAAAAAATTTTAAAATGTTTTCTAAACATATCTCTTCATTGGAAATAGTTTATAGTTCAAAAAAAAAAAAAATTCCTAAATCTATGGTATTGGTCTTTAGACCTTGAATATACCTAATTACTCTCCTTAGACTCTTCTATTTATTTTCTCAACACTATAAATGCATTTACATTCAAATCACACCCTCCATTGTTTATATATACTTAAGACTAACAAAGAAAAATCGTCCAGCAGTACATGTAGAGAAAGGTCCACTGCATCCAACATATAAAAGGCAGAAAAACTAATCCTAAGCTGAACTTCCGATCCCAGTGCAACAATTTAGTCCTTATAACAATTTGAGTATCAAGAATAAAGAACAGATACCACGTCAATCAGCTAGAAGAAGGAGGGAATGATTCAGCGGTGCCGCACAGTGTAACGAGAAGAGAAAGAAAACAATATCTCACTTCAACAAGTCTTAATGACAGCAAGTTTGATTCAGCCACAGAATAGCATTGAAACAAAAAAAAGCTAGGGGTTCAAATCTATCAACACACAAGGAGGAAGAAGTTGTGATTCCAGTCAGCAATAAAAGAAGTAGTAACCACCTATACCCATGCTGAACTTCAATGACAGGGAAGGAAGAAAAGAGAAAAGAAAGACCGACCACCGTGTGCATCCAAATTCAATGCAAAACAGAGCAAGAGAACGAGGGATATACCTATCCACTGTGACTGACGGATGAAAACCGAGAAGAAGAGGAAGGTGGCAGCTAAGATCACAAACTGCTGACAGACTCTCGTGGACACGAACCAGCGCGATATAGTGGGAGGAAAATCAGCAACTCAGTTTAAATGTGACTAACAAACAAGGACAAGAAGATGAGATGATATGAAGCAACGACAACCACACAAAATGGTCAAATAACAGCAAGTTAAGTGTGTTGATAAGGATTAAAAAATGGACCAACTTAAATGATCTAGAAGGGTGTAGGAAGGTGGTGAGAAAATGAGTCAAAGTGCTCTGTTTTTCCTCAAGCAAAAGGGCCGAAATCAGAATATATAGAGTATGGAAAAATTTACAAAGAAGAGCACGAGGAAATTACATAAAAGACACAAGAAAATTACGATAAGGAACCCAACATTTTTCTATAATTTAAAAGAAAGGTTTTTATTTGAAAAGTTTAATTCTTGCACAAATTCTAACATTTTTTTCCTATAAATGCCCCCTTTTTATTTCTAAGAGACTTATTTAAATAAAAATATTTGTAAAAAAAAAAACTTTGTTCGACTTAAAATTTAAGGCCATCAAAGGAAACTTGGATGCCCTATTTGTGAAGATAACATACAGTCGGTGAAATTAGAACATGATATGAAAAATGTCTACATGGGACATCGTAGATGGTTGTCTTAGCAACATTATTATCGAAGATTAAAAAAAAATCTTTTGATGGTAATCCAGAAGAAGGTGGGCCACCTCCATTTTTATCCGTTGATCAGTTGTTTGAAAAGGTTAAGGATTTGGATATTGAATTTGAAAAACCTTTTGTAAGGCATATTAGTACAAGTGGGTGGAAGAAAATATCTATTTTCTTTTATTTGCCATATTGGATGATCTTGGATGTGCGGCATTTTCTCAATATAATGCACATTAAAAAAATGTGTGTGAAAGTATTATTGGTATCCAGGAAAGAGCAAAGATGGCATAAAAGCGAGGATAGACATTGTTTCTATAGGTATAAGGGAAGACTTGGCACCAAAGGAGAATGGAAGTTGTACATTTCTTCATCTAGCAACTCACACATTGTCTAAAAAAGAAAAAAGGTCATTATGTGAGTTTCTTGGTGCAATTAAAGTTCCAAAGGGTTACTATTCCAATGTGAAGAATCTTGTGTCAATTAAAGATTTGAAGTTGAAAGGTTTAAAATCTCATAACTGTCATGTCTTGATGGAAAATTTTCTTCAAGTAGCTATACGTTCTATTTTACCCAATGGGATGCATAATGTGATAATGAAACTATGTTTCTTTTTCAAGACTATTTGAAGTAAAGTCATTAACCCTCACAAATTGCTAAGGTTACAAGGCCAAATTATAAGGACATTATGTGAACTTTAAATGTATTTCCCGCCTGCATTTTTTGACATAATAGATCACCTTACTATTCACTTAGCTAAGAAGGTAGAAATGTATAGCTTGATTTATTTGAGATGGATGTACCCAATTGAATGTAATATGAAGGTACTAAAAGGGTAAGTGAAGAACTAAATTAGACCTGAAGGCTATGTTGTTAAAATGTATATTAGTGAAAAGGCTGTTGAATCTTGTCAAGAGTATTTGAGAGATGGTAAATATGTTGGGATCCCAATAGATAGGCATATGGGAAGAGAAAATGAGGAAGGAATGAAGGGGGTCAAATTAGTCCCTATCTTAAAAACACATTAGGAGCAAGCACACCTGTATATGTTGCACAACTCTAAAGATGTTGACAAGTATGTAGACACGCACAAGTCTGACATTAGGAAGGATAATCCTGGAAGAACTGAAACTTGCTATGAGAAGGAACATAATAAGCACTTCACATGTTAGTTAAAAAAACATGTTTTTGACAAGTACAATTCCAATCATAATTATGAACATGGTTAACTTATTTCTAATGGTAGAGCCACATAGACTTGAGGGGAAAATTTACAACTTAGCACCCTTTACTCTTGATATATATTTTATGCCCTCTGAATTAAATAAAAAATATTTAGGCTCAAAAACTTATTAAATACTCCATCTGTTCAAAAATGTAAAGCATTTTTTGAGGAGTTGGATGTTTAAAAATATAAGATATTTTTAGTCTTTCAAGGTGTAATCATTGCATTTTTTTCAAAAGTGCCCTTATTGATAATGACTTTATATTTATTATAAGATGTTTAATAGGGGTAAATATGAAAAGATAGGGTTAGTTGAAAAGTAGGTAACTACTTTATTAGGGGCGAGATTCAGTTAAAAATGCCTTATATTTTTAAACAGAGAGAGTATATAATATTTTAATGATTTAGATAAGATATGAAGAGTATATTTATAATAAAATGCCATATCAATCTATTCAATATAATTTTTTAAAATGAAAAATGATGATAAAACTATTTATGTTATTATAATCTTAGTCCTAACATAATTATTATTTTTTAAAAAATATTAATTTTTATTAAATTATTTTGCACCCCCTAACTTTGGGTCTTAGTTCTGCCATTGCCTATCTCCCGTTCACATCTTCATATATCATTCTAATTTTTTTTAATCTATTCAATTCCTTTCCTTTGTAGCAACCAAATAGGCCCTTAAAACTGAGTTGCTAGTCTTCTTTGAAATTCAGGGATTGAACCGATGATTGAGAAAATATTTAGGGACTACAAGTTTTATTTTTTTTTCTAATAAGGAATCATAAAACATCTTTTCAAATGCAGATCAGTTATACATACAAATATACATATATATATATATATATAGAGAGAGAGAGAGAGACAGAGAGAAACCTCATTGGAGACAATGTCATCCATGAGCCTGCGAACAATAGAAGCAGCATTGACAATCTTAGGTTGGGTTTGTGCCCATTTGAAGACGTCCTCAGTTGCAATTTCTCCCATACAAATGAAACATGTCATTGATTGCAACAAAAAACAAGTTGTTACTATCGCTGTGTTCAAGTACTCTTCAACTGTTGGTATATAGTTCCTATATAACCATCTTGCTTCTGACATGTAGCCTTGCACTACTATCCTTTTAAACTAGTTCAGAAAACAGTATTTTATGTAAAAAAAAATCATTAATCACATCTAGCTAGTTTATTTTCAAGATTCATTGATAAAGAAATTGAGATATAGTTAATTAATGGACGAGATTTTACCTCTTTTATGGTATAGTCAACACTGTATGATCTTCCTTCTTTCCCAATCTCCTGATCTATTTCTTCAAAGATACTTAGCAGCGGTTTATAAATTAGCTTCATGTATCCTGGAGATCTTCCAAGCAACTAATATCCCACCTGAAAGGATTAAACACTTCAACTTGAATAGTAGAAAAAATGTATCTGGGAAGAGTGGAAAGCCCTAATTTCTAAATTCAACAGACACAATTCAAAATTATACTCCTTCTAGATCAAAATATAGGGCTTCTTCTCAAAACTCTGCTTGGTTCAAAATATAGAATATTAAGTAATTTTTATAAATATTTTCAGCTATACCCCTACTTAATTTATTAATCTTTTTGGAAAAATTATGATGCATTGAAATTAAAATTGTCATTGTTAAAGTATTTATAATTGAAAATATGTAAAAAAATTTAGAACCACAAAATAGTTACCAATGTCCTATATTATGATTAAGAGGAAGTATATATAATAACCATGATAACTACATTAAACCTCTCAATCGCTTTAGTGAAGATTTCTAGTTCGTCAATGGACATTTAGACATCATATGTATCATCGATGATGGTTAAGAAGCCAAATTCTTTGGCCATAAGGATCCTGTCTTTGGAATATTGAGGCTCAAAACAAACCCCAAGAGCCCAAAAGCAACATTCCACAATCCTATTTCTTACATATGAAAGATTTCTTGGCACGTCTAAAGTATTCCACCGCCTAACAACACCGCCACGAAAATGAAAGTATGTATGTGTCAGTAATATTTCATAGCGACAATATTTGGTATTTATTCCTGGGAGAATGACATTAAAGACTCAAAACTCATAATTTAAGAAAGTTAGGTCCCCGAAAATTTCTTTCTAAAAAATCAGTTATAAGCATTTATTCAAATAGTCATAAATTCAGGAATTCTAATTGTAAAAAGGACATTTAAAGTTTAAATATAACTTTTAGTTTGTAATTGAGATTCCTGATTAATTTGCAACAGTTTGAATTAATATTAGCAACTTATTTTTTCGAAATTTGGTCAAATACTTAACTGTCATAAATTCTGATTTTGGGACTTTATTGTCATTCTCCTCCCTTTCTTCTTTTTGTTCCAATACTAGCTAGGCCCAAGAACTTACTTGCAAATATTGCCAAATTCTTTCCGATGCAGTTTTTGGAGTGCGTTGAAGTCTAATTTTGCTAAGGTCAAAAGAACTTCATTATAGGAAGGATGAAGGTGGTAGATTGAGATGTACTTTCGTGCCTCTAGCCTTTGTATTCCCCTATATGGACATTGCTTTAAGACATATTTGAGTTTTGCTGCAAGAAACGGGTTTGATTCATACAAACTTATCATTCCTTCAACATCCAAAGTAAGTGTTTCATTGAAGTTTCCTTTCTCATCCTTGAACTTGTTGAACACATCTGGTGGTGATGATTTGTGCATATCAATTAGAAGGAAGAAAAAGAAAAAGAAAAACATCTACTTTTGTGGGGAAGAAATAGCCTAAGTTATATTTTTATTTTTGAAAATTAAAAAAATCATTTTATTTGAAAAAAATACGTGCGGTATATGGAGTATGTGATGAATAACTTTATGCATCACTTATAAATAGGATATCTTTTCAAAGATTATATATACATATTCTTAGAAAATAAAAATTCAAAATTTTAATTATCTACCTCATCAATTCAAGATTGTCCAAATATCTTAACTAATTGACTAGAATGCTCATTTGACATGATACAAATACAATAAAACACATGAAAAAGATTGTAGAATATTTTTCTTAAAGAACTGAGTAAGATTCTTTTTGTATATCTTTTATATTAACATGGAAATCAAATTCCAAAGCAAAATGGAGCACATAGGAAGCATGTATACCAGGTGAAACAAGATATCCATGTTGTCTCAGTAACTTGAAGAGTAGGGCTAGAGAATGCAGATCTCCAGTAAGAGTTATTTCATTATTTTCAACACAATCATTTTGAATCTGCTTCAATATTTGATCAATCTCAAGCTCAAAGTGATATGACAAACCCAAACATTGAATTGATTCAACCACTTCAGCTTTCTTCAAGGGCGTCTCCATGGTAGAGATAAGCATCTCCCTCACTTCTTCTTTCAATGTTTCAATATTTTTCTTCATTTCATCACCAACTTCCTACATGTGTGTGTGTGGTTTGAATGAACTTGTCGTTATCATGATTAGTTAGAAAAACTGTAAAAATTAGGTAAGGGTGTTCTATAATAGATAACATATTGCATAAATGATTTGAAAATATTAAAATTAATGAAGGAAAAAATTAGTAATAATTACTTCAAAATTCTTTTTGGCATGATTTGAACTGAGCAAGGAACGAAACCAAATGAAAGACTTCATTAAGAACTGAATCAGGTCCCAACTTTGGGCCAAAATTGATAGATTTGATTTGGTTTGTTTTGGTATTGTATTTAGTTTTATATTAAAGGTTGTACTTTAGGAACTATTGCTTTCTTTTCTTTGCTTGTAGCCTTGTAGGTTTTACCGATAGGATGTTTTTTCTGCTTCATGAATCAGTGTGTGTAATATTTTTTTAATCAATAAATAACCTTTTTTTCTGGTCAATGAAAACCCAACCCAACATTTGATCACATCCCTAAAATTAGCTACAATAATGCCTCTCTAAAATAAGCACCATATCCAAATCCATATCCAAGTGAAACGCAAACAACCAGTATTAATATATGCAGAAAATTAAAATATAGGATGAGAAATAAAAAATATAAAGATAGCCTGTAGCAGCGGTAATTTGCACTTGGATCTCTAAAGGGATGAAAAACATGTAAAAATTAAAGCAAAGAGAAGGCCAGGCCAATGGTAATTAAAGATTCATATATTTGTGTGTATATAGAGTGGGGTGTGGGGAGAGGGAGAGGGAGAGCAAAAGAAAAGTAAAATAAAATTAATTTCTGGAAAGTAAATGATAAGAATATAATGAAGGTTAATGATAATTTTACTGAAGAGGTTCATAAGAGAAAATTCTCTCCAAGACTCCACCCTTCAAAGCTCTTCTACTTTATTGTGTGTGTGTTATATGTAGAAACATAATTACCAAATCGTCAGAAGCATATTGAAGGAAATAATCATTCCAAAGACAAGGATGAAAATCTGCAGATTGTCGATCCAACTTGGATGTGGCATTAGTTTTAGGGTTTGAAGGAGAAACAAGCAGTGATGAAGAAGCAACGATAGACATATTGTGGCTATCAAGAGAAGGGGCTTTTGGGAAATCAATGGAAAGGGTTTTACTTGCATCATTAAAAGTGGGTGGAGATATTTATAGGAAACGTTGAATAATTTGTTTAATTATAAAAAATAAAAACTCTAATAACCACATCATTAGTTTGACACGTGAATTATACCATAAAGTAAAAAAGGATATTCAAAACTCATTTCAGCATGCCAAAATCTGCGCCTATTTATTTATAATTAAGGCAGAGAAAGAAGAAATTTTTTATTTTATTTATAAGTTATGTCATCAAATTTTTATCACAACTTTCTATTGTAACCCCTCATTAAACGTTAGTAAGACAAATTAAAGTATGTATATTTAATAATGAGAAAGTTAAAAACTTATTAATTTTTTAAACATAGTTAATGATGAGTTTTAAAATTTTCATTTAGATGAAGTATATTGAAAATGACCTATATATAGAACAACGAGTAATTATGCAGTCCACAAGGGGGCCAAGCTGCATTATTTCACTGGGAGCATTTATCCTATAATGAAGGGTATATGATAGAGAAATATTTTTTATCAATTAAAAAAAAAGAAATAAGAGGAGAAGAAATGGGAAGGGAGAAAATATGGAGGAAAAACGTCTTCTCTCCTTAGATATAAGTTCCAGGAAACATATATTGAAAAAGAAAATGGACAAATTTCCCAATAATAATATCCATAAAAAATAAGTGAATCCCATGCCTCTTTGAAATGCCCTTTGACATATTTATTTAATATGACTATAACTTCATATTATAAGACTCAAATTCAAGATTTTTGATAAGTTGATTAAACTTTCTCGGACCAAACACCCCACAGTATTTTATATGTAATTATCATAAACACGGGCTGTGTTCGATGTAAGGCCATTGTTTTAAGCCTCAAAAAATGTTTGCTTGTACCCAATATATATCCAATCATTAAGATGCAGGGGACCACTTTGTTACAATTTAACAATTCTCATATCTCATTCCCTCTCAATTGAATCATTTTCTGTCATTATTGTCATTTTCTTATATAAAAAAAAATTGCTATGTTGATTGCTCAACAAGTTCGTTTCCTTGTGACTTTATTGATTTGATTCATGCTGCCATTTGCCACTGCGAATCCTTTTTATTTCCTTATTGGTTTTTTTTTTTTGCTTGCTGTCTAATTGAAAAAAGAAAGAAAGAAAGAACACCAATCGTATATTTGAGTTGTCGGTCACATCAAGTGTGTTTGTTCCTTTTTATTCTTTATTTCATAATATGAATAACAGTTACTACCGTTGAAAGAAGTTTTTAAAAATTATTTAAGATCATTCATGTTACAAAATATATTAAATACATTAGTTATACTATCTATTGAAATTGAAAGATAAGAATTACTTGATCACAAAATTTTAATATCTGATTTTATAGTTTAAAGGGCTAGAAAAATAATATGAACATAGATAAATTATAATATATTTGGCCTCTAAAAAATTTTACCTTAGGTCTCAAAACTTTTTGGAATAATTATATTGAAATCTCATACAAAAAAATTAATTACTATAAAGTTCATTAACAACTGAATCAAACTGTATTGACAATACAACTAATTGTCAATGCAGTTTAGTTCAGTTGTCAATAGATTTTACAGTAATTTTTTTTGTTTTAGACCTGGTTGTGATTCTCCCAAACTTTTTCACACTACCATGCATAAATAATTATACTTTTATTCTTAGTGCGTCTTTTCTTCGTGATTATTAGAAGATAGAATAAAGAACAACTTATTTATATAAAAATATTAAAATTTATAACCTTAATTACACTCAAATATAAATATTAATAATTTATTTCAATATATCCATACAAAATAAAAATCTAAAATATATGTTTTGTTTAAAAAAATTATTTCATATAGTATAACAGTAGTGATTGTTTACTTTACAATTTGAAAGCAAGTGGATATTAACACTGTTAATATCAATTTATTTTTTTTATATAAATTATTTTAGAACATGCCACTAGGGGGGTTTAATTATATTACAAGTTTCTTGGTGCATTTCCTACTCCAGGACCAGGAAGGGCTTGTGCTTAAATTTGTTTGTGGCCATAAATAACAAAACCTTAATAATAAAGGATACATCAATTCTAGCGGCCCCACATGCACAAATATAATTTAAGAGCTTTTTGCTTGCTATCTAATTAAAAAAAAAAAAAAGAAGCAAAAAACACCAATCATACATATGAGGTGCCCACCACATCATATGTGTTTGTTTCAAGGCGGTGGAAGCCACAGGGCAGGCGACGCAATTGTCTTATGCCTCCAAAAAAAAATATTAATACCCCTACTGTATATATGTCTAACTGATATTTATATTATTATATATTTAATTGCTGATGAAATATAAAAAAAGTATTGATTTTTTTTTTTGAAAAGTTTTAATCATTCTCATTACAATATTAATTATTGAGCTGAGTTTATTATCTATATAAAAAAGAATAGTGAGATTTATAAGATATTAATTTGTACTGTATTAACTTGTGTTAAATTCCTCTCACAGTCTCACTTTTAATTTTTACTTTTCTTATTCTAAAGCTTAAAACATTGACAACTATTAGTATCAAGACCTTGTGTAGTTTAAAACTATCAAGGTGGTACTTTTAAGCTTTATTAAAAATCTTGTTTATAATTTATATAATTATTATTAGTTTTTCACATTAATCATTGATATTATTAGTCTTAGTTATATCTTGTTAATATTCTATCTCAATATATAAGATGAGCTATGAGCACTTTATCAACACTAATTTTTCATTTAACTATTGAATTAATTATTTTATTAGAATCACTATATTATAAAATTTTAATATATAATTTTGTAAAAAATGATGAGTGCATTTTTTGAAGGAACAATTACACATATTAAGTTTACTAATAATTTTATCTTTGGCCTCAAAACATCTTCACATGCCCTTGGTTTGTTCCTTTGTCTTTCTTTATTTTACAATGCGAATAACAGTTGTTATTGTTGAAAGAGGTTTTTTAAAACTAAAATTTTTAAATATTATTTAAGATCAACTATGTTATAAAATAGATTAAATAGATGAGTTATATTATCTATTAAAATTGAAATATTAGAATTACTTGATCACAAAATTTTAATATATGTTTTTTCAGTTCAAAAAGCTAGAAAAATAATATGAATATAGATAAATTACATTATACTAGGCCTCTTAAAAGTTTCACCTTGGGTCCCAACTTCTTGACACGGCCATACACAAATAACTATATTTTTATTCATAATGCGTTTTTTCTTAGTGATTATTGGAAGATAGAATGAAGAACAACTTATTTATCTAAAAAAAATTAAAATTTATAACCTCAATTGCACTCAGATATAAATATTAATAATTTATTTCAATATATCCATACAAAATAAAAATCTAAAAGATATGTTTTGCTTTAAAAAATTTTCGTTCATATAGTATAACAGTAGTAACTTGTTTACTTTAAAATTTTTTGGCCTGTTTACTTTACCATTTGAAAGCAGGCGGATGTCAACACTATAAATATCAATTTATTTTTTTTCATAGAAATTATTTTAGAATATGCCATGCTAGTGAGGTTAATTACAAGTTTCATGGTGTGTTTCCCACTCCTGCCCAGCAAGGGCTTGAGCTTAAATTTCTGTGGGTCCATAAATAACAAAACCTTAATGATGAAGCATACGTCAATTCTATCCCCAACCTCAGATCGATGCACCATCTAGAACCCTTTATAAAACTGCCAAAAACCAGTTTCTTTATATAACATCGACGTGTCATCTTGTTATGTACACAATAATGTTTTTTTCATACATACATACTTATCTTTTATTATAAAATATTTTTAAAACATTCACTGTTCATAAAACAGTAACGTCAACGTGTTAGTATGTTCTGTACACAATAATTCTCTGTTTTTTTAATGTACAAAATAATTCAATATGGTCCATCTAATCTTATATCTTAACTTTTGTAAAATATAATTTTGATTACTGTTAATTCTATAGTAAAAATAATAGTAACAATAAAGTGTCATTATTGTAATGGTTATGTTGCCTTTAGTTTTTTCATAAATATTATCATAGGATATGATTTAATTAATGCGTTGTGTGGGCTTGGGTTAAAAATTTGTTCTGAACTTTTAGTTTTAAATTAGTCCAAACATTGAGGATATCGATTTTGCCTTGAGATGAATTAACATGTTTAAAAAAAAAGAGGAAATTAGATTGAAGAAAATTAATCCCAAGTAAAAGGATGAAAATCTGCAGATTGTCGACCCAAATTGGCTGTGGCATTAATATTAGGGTTTGAAGGAGGAACAAGTGATGAAGAAGCAATGATAGACATATTGTGGCTACCAAGAGGAGAGGCTTTTGGAAAATCAATGGAAAGGGTTTTACTTACATCATTAAAAGTGGGTGGTGATATCTATAGGAAACGTTGAGAAATTTGTTTAATTATAAAAATAAAAATAAAAAATCTAATAACCACATCATTATTTCAGAGGTGAATTATACCATAAAGTAGAAGAGAATATTCAAACACTCATTACAACATGCAAAAGAATCATATTCTCCCTGGTCCTATTTATAATTAAGGTAGAGAGAGAAGAAATTTTTTACATTATTTATAAGTATTGTCATTAAATTTTTATGTCAAGTTTCCTTTTTTACCAGTCATTAAATGTTGGTAAGAGAAAGTTTATTATTAGAGTATGCATAATTAATAAAGGTAAAGTTCAAAACTCATTACATTTTTAAACATAGTTAATAAGTTTTCAGACTTTCATTGATTTAGATAAAGTATGTTGAAAATGACTTATATATAAGATAGAAAGGAGTAATTATGTAGTCCACAAGGGGGCAAAGCTGCATTATTTCTTTTTTTTTTTTTTAACTGAAAGCTGCATTATTTCATTGGGAGCATTTATCCTATAATGAAAGGTATGGTAGAGAATTATTTTTTAACAATAAAAAAAAAGAAAATTAGAGGAGATGA